CAAAGAACTCTAAGTCAGTTTACTGAGAACTCCCCATGACTGGGTTCCTCAACCTCTACCATCCCCCAGGTGCTGCCTGATTACCCTGGCCTGTCCTCAGCAAGAATCCCGTTAGACGAGTTTAGCCAGAATCCCCCTTACTCCTGATGGTTGCTCTTAGCAATTTTCCTTCCAGTGACCCCAAGGTGCTCCTTGGCTATACATTCCAACTGGCCCATGCTATATTGGGAGTCGAGCCCAATCTCTCTCCTCTACTGCAAGACCCACTGTAGTGGTCCCTACACTTATCACAGTGGTCCTGAATAAAGTCTTCCTTCCTGTGCTTTAACAAGTATCTTTGAATAATTTTTTTCTTTGCCAGCCAAATGTGAAAGCAGGAAACTTGAAACCAAGCCCTGAGTTCAAACCCTAGCTTCATCTCCTTCTGTCTTAAAATAAAGGGAGTGGATTAGTTAATCTCTAAGGTCACTTCTGGCTTTACTGTTTCACGATTTCACCCTCATTTCACTGAGAGCTATAGCCCCTTGTTCAATGTGCGTGCCCAGAGGTGAGTGAGGACAAACATGCAGAAGAAAAAGAGATGAGTAGAATAGAGAGGCATGTGTTAGAGCTATTCAGGTGGTAAAATCAAAGGAAGAAGCCACCAAGGAAGCTCCCAGGTGTTTGGCTGGGGCAGTTAGGTGTGGGTAAGGGTATAGCTACTGTAGGAGCCAGGTATATGGGAAAAAATGATCTCTGTTAAAAAAAAAAATCATAGATCGAACATGGTCAGGCACAATGGCTCACAGCTATAATCCCAACACTTTGGGATGCCAAATTTGCAGAGAATTGCTTGAGCCCAGGAGGTAGAGACCAGCCTGGGCAACATAGCAAGACCCCTATCTCTACAAAAAAATTAAAAATAAGCTAAGCACGGTGGCATGTGCCTGTAGTCCTAGCTACTTAGGAGGCTGAGGTGGAAGATCATTTGAGCCTCAGGTTGCAGTAAACTCTAATAACCACTGCACTCCAGCCTGGGCAACAGAGCAAGACCCTGTCTCTAAAAAGAGAAAAAAAAGTTCAAAGTTCAGTTCCATTCAAAAACAAAAATGATTCAAAATATTTCCCAGAATGAAAACAGGCCAGCAGCTTTTTGCCATGTTTACACTTGGGAAATAAGCTTTAGCCCTGCCACCACCACATTCCCTGGGCAGAGCCCCCGCAGGGACTAGCATGGATGTTGATGAAACAAGGGCTTCTTTTTTCTTCCCCCTCTGTTCACTTACTATGACTTTTAGATTGGCCTGCAGATAGATTCAACACAGGAAAACCTGTCATTAATATAGTTTTCAAGTAGCAAACCACAAGTGAGGAAGGTAGCTATGGCAGGTGGCCAGCATTGGTGAGAGCAGTTCTCCAGGATTCCTAAGCTGTAGAAAACCGTGAGTCTTTGAGGTCAGAGCCCAGATTCAGTTCCCTTCACAAGACCTCATTTGACCAAAGTCTGACTAACTCCCAGGTTTTTCCATTATTATTATGGATTTACTCTGAAGGGCTCTTTATAAAAATGAAAACCAGTTTTGGTTTTTCATACTTGGGATATTTAGGAACCATTTCTTCCATGTGCTTAGTACTTCATAGCTCACAAAGTGCTTTCACAGCCTGGATGATTTTTTATTTTCACCAAGCCAGGGATTATTCTTCTCATTCTATGTGTCTTGAAACAAGACTCAGAGGTGTAAGTGGCTTTTTCAAGATCACATAGCTAGAAAGTGCCAAAACTATCCACTCAAATTTGATAATATTCCAGGTAGGCAATACAGTGGGAAATGGATATCTCATACACTTATGGTGAGAGTGTAAATTGGTCTGGCATTTCACAAGGGCTCATTGCCAGTGTTTATTAAATATGGTTACCCTTTGATTTGCCAGTTTAACTTTAGGGTCTCTGTATGAGCGTGAGCTCCCCCTAGAAAGCAGAGCTCAAAATGAGAGCTTGTAGGCAGCAAGCCAGCATTGAGAAGTGAATGAGTCCAGGGCTAGGAAGAGTGAAAAGCAACACAAGGCTGCATTATCAAGCTGATCACCATTGTGCGTAGCTAGGACTCAATCCTGCCAGAACCCTTTAAGGAACCACGGGGAATGGGCCTGAGAGAAGGAAGAGGGGAACATTTATTTACAGGCTCACACTCTAGACTGGTAAAAAGTTACTCCATAGACTGTTAACTCTTCCACACTACCATGTTTGTCAGAGGAATACAAATAATGTATTCATGTATTAATTATATAGTTATTAATAAAAAGATTAGGGGAGAACCTGGGCCTGGGAACTGGAGGTGGCGCTGGAACACAGATCTCCAAAGTCAAGTCTAATTTTCAGAGTCTGGCAGATAGGGTTCTGTGGAACTGGAGTTATAAAGAATAGAATCCGGTTCCCTTGGACGTAGAGAGAGAGACATGGCAAGAGAATGTTTCTGTTTTCTGCCACAAGTGACTCCATATTCTAGGCACCCTGGGCACAAAGTATCTGATATCCTGCCAGGCAGTGTTATCAGTGGTCAAAAGGGATCAGAGATAAGGCCTACCATGCCCAGTTCCAAGGTCAAAGACAGAAAATTAAACAAGTGATTATCAAAAAGCAGTGCTTTTCTTTTTTTTTTTTTTTTTTTTTTTTTTTTTTTTTTTGAGACGGAGTTTCACTCTTGTTACCCAGGCTGGAGTGCAATGGCGCGATCTCGGCTCACTGCAACCTCCGCCTCCTGGGTTCAGGCAATTCTCCTGCCTCAACCTCCTGAGTAGCTGGGATTACAGGCACGCACCACCATGCCCAGCTAATGTTTTGTATTTTTAGTAGAGACAGGGTTTCACCATGTTGACCAGGATGGTCTTGATCTTTTGACCTTGTGATCCACCCGCCTCAGCCTTCCAAAGTGCTGGGATTACAGGCTTGAGCCACCGCGCCCGGCCAGCAGTGCTTTTCTAATTTAGTATGCATGAGATTCACCTGGGAGCTTGTTAGAAGTTTAGATTCTTGGACCCCAACCCAGACTTTCCAATTTGGGTCTTGGGCAGAGCCTTGAATCTACATTTATAAATCCCTCAAGTAATTCTTGTGGAGGTGACCCAGGACCACACTTGAGAAACACTGCCTTGGGGCCCAGATTCTGAGCCTTTGAGGACAGAAAGTACCTCATTTATTGCTAGTTCCCTCCCCAGTACCTGACATGTAGCAGGGACAAGATAATTGGTCACTGAATTATTCAAAATCAGTGCTCTAAAAAGTGTCTGTTTTATGTGGAGTCAGCGCAAGTCTGCAGCCTTTCTGTACCTGCAGGCTCTGGGACTTCATTTTAACAGCATAGCCCAGAAAAGGGAATTTAAACTCCACAGACACTAGTTTATAAACTAGAAAGCCAATGAATTCATTAACATAAAGAAATAACTGCAAATCAGTTGGCTAGTAATATATTTTCTCCTAGGAGCAGAAGCCACCTATGAAATTCAGTTAGTGCCAGACTATTGCTTGATGAACAAGAAAAGATTTTTAGGCGCCATTGGTAAAGCATGACATAAATTGTGAGATTAGCACTGTATAAGTTGAACAGGTCTATATAAATGTAACATTATTATTAACGTCACTATATTAGAAAATACGCTGGAGGCAGTATACATAGGGGTTATGCCTGCAAGCACTGGAGTCAGACAGAACAACATTCTACCTTTATCTATGAAGCCTGATAGAGGAGTCACCGCACTTCCCTGAGCCTAAGTTTCCTGCTCTGTAAAATAGAAATAATATTGCCACATGCCTTTTGGAGTTGTAAGAATTAAATTAGACAATGTATGTAAAGTTTTGACACAGTGCGCTGCACTTAAGTGCTCAATAAATGTTTGTTAATAGTATTCAGTTCCTTATCTTCTCAGTCACCAATTCTAACGTCAGACAGGTAATAATACAACACTACTACAATTATAAAAACATAGACCAGGTGGCAGGCAACAGAAGCTCCAGTTTCTGCTAGGCAGTTCTAGACGGTCTTTTTACATACTGCAGAGTCCTAATTAGAAGGGAGTCAGGCTAGTGGGACCAAGGGAAAGCAAAAAGAGCAGATGCACTGTAAGTCTGCCTTTCTTCATGGTGCAGGACACATAGCCCTCCTGTGCAAATAATTCACAATCTTCCTGCACCCAGCTATCACGAGACACCTGCAAGTTAGCTCCCTGCAACCTTGGAGTTATCAGTACTGCACAGCACCCTGCAGCCCAAGAACAGTCCTATAAAATCTCCACCAAGCCTTTGTTTCCTTGAAATCAGCTCCTCTCTGGGTGGTCTGCCCATTGCAACCATTCAACGTAATTTCATTCCTTCTCAAATAAATCTGCATTTCTTTACCTAAAACTATTAATAAATTCTTTTATCACCCACGTAATACCAGTCTCACATAGCAGCTGCTCACCCAAGACACAGACCTAAGCCTTAGTTTACACATTAGAAAAATGTAGACGCCTACCAACATTGTTCATTGATTTCATTCCCTCCTCTCATACTTATTGGAGGTCCACAATATAGGCTTAGACCTAATGTTAACGATGTACTCAAAACCTGCGTAGAGGAACTCACAGCCTAAAGTTTCAAATGAGATAATGTACGTGAAAGTTCCATAAAGGCCATTGGGAAGACTCAGAAGACAGTTGCTGGTGTGACTCTTGTCTTTCAGTCCCCACGGAGCTCTGTCCCTTTGAGAACTTCATTTGTCTCCTGGATGCTCACCTAGAAAGTGCGGCAGGGGAGGCCGTCGTAAATAACACAAAAGAGCAGCTTTTCATTCTGGGAAAAAAGAACAAAAGGAGCTCACTGAACCTGTATGCATTTAATCTGCCGAGTCCAGACCAAACGACAGAAAGGGCAGTGGACGCTCAAGGAAGCGCTGGGGGGCGGGCCCAGGGTTGGGGAGAAAACTGGGATCCCAGCTGCGCACGCGCGCTCTGATTTTAGACAGGCTCGAGCCCGACGATGTGGGAAGCCTAACGTCAAAGTCTACGTAGGAAGACGTAGGGAAGGCGACAAGGAAGACGCTGGGCTTCGGGTCACGTGATGCGGCGGGTGGGTCGTCGGCTCCTCCCTCCCCAAGATGGCGTCCTTGCTGCAGTCGGATCGGGTTCTCTATCTAGTCCAGGGAGAAAAGAAGGTTCGGGCCCCGCTCTCGCAGCTCTACTTCTGCCGCTATTGTAGCGAGCTGCGGTCGCTGGAATGTGTGTCTCACGAGGTAACGGAGTCGTCCCATAGAGAGTGGGGGTGGGGGGCGCGGCGTTCATCCTAGTCACTGCCACCGGCGGGCTGGAGCTATTTTCCTTCCTCACTGATTGGCTATGTCTTCCGTCACTCGGCTTTGCCTGAGGTTTAATTTGCTTGTAATTTGTCACTTGGAAAGGAGGAGCAGCTTCGGGTGGGGCTGAGCGGATCTTCTGGTTCTAGAGCGGCCTCTGATTGGACAAACTTGATTTAGGGACCGTGCCTGTCTCCGATGGGGCTTATTAATTGGGTGGACTACGGAGAAAGGTCTGGGAGTGCTTAAGTTCAGGACACTTGAGGGGCAAAAAAGCTCCTTTCCACGATTGATTTCGAGGATGGAGGAAGGCGCAGGCATTCTCATTCATGGCCCTCCCATCCTGGAAGTTCTGCTCCTCTTTTGTCCAGAAACTGGGCCGTCATCGGACTGCCTTGTCCTGTACCTGACTCAGGCCAAGGCCTGCAGCCGGGAAGTGGCTGGGGCGGAGTGAGTTATGTGAAAAGCGCTCAGAATACAGCATGTCATGTAAGAAGCTGAAAGTGTCGTTCATGGATCTGGAGAATGGTGCTGTTCTTCACTAGCACAAGTGGGCGTTCGAAGTTGGATTGCTCAAAAAGAAGACCCCGGCCAGTTAAAAAGTCACCAAATAACAAAAACCCAAAACTAATGCAGTGCTTGGCACATCTTGTTTATTCAGTAAGCTTTAAGGATTAAAAGGCTAGTAAGACATAAAATGTACTGTTTAATAAGCCATAATCTAGTAAAGAAAAAGCTAGTGGTAATAATAGTTGCTGCTTATTCAATACTTGCTATATACCATGTGCTTGGTGTAATCTCTCCAAACCAATAAAGTGGATACCTTTTTTAAAAAAAAAATTTACAGGTAAAGAAACATACAAAGTGTTTGCAGTAAATCACGCTGCCAGTAATTTGGGGGTGGGAGGGAGTACCTGGATTTGAATCTAAACAGCCTGACTCAGAGATTTTTTTTTTACTCAGGATCCCAGGACTGTTAAATTGCATATGAAAATCACATACTATAAACCATTTTATGTGTTATTAATTATTTTATTGAAGATACTTTTCATAATAGGAATAGTCAAGAAAAGCAAATAATACAAGAAAAATCATATATATTAAAAATATGACATTCATTTTTCTTCTCATCTCCATTAGCACTTATATGTATTTCCTTGATGATTCCCTATTCCAGCTCCACCTCCAGAATTTATTGGATCATATTCTTCTATGGTGAATAGAGTGCTCAGTCCCCATGATCTGTTTCTAAGGCTCTCTTCTATTAGGACATCCAGTCTGTGATAGCATCTTTTACAGCCTGATATGTACCTGTGATGTGGAGGCCATTAGAGTTTAGGGAAAGATGAGGTTCTGAGGGCTCGGGCAGGCCATGAAGTTCTAACGAAGAACCTGGGTCTGGAGCTGCACATGAACAGACAAACACAATTTAGAAAGGGGGCAAAAAGGAATGACTTGTATTTTGCCTTGTTTGATGAATCAGTGCAGATATTAGTTAGCAATACTGTATTTTATGTTCCTGGAGATTATTTGACCAAGAACTTTATTAATCTTTTCAAATTGGCCTGTTTATAGCAGATGATGAAAAAAGCCAGTTTCTATCATAGTATTTATGTTCCAGTGATTGTCTTTTCATTTGCAGTTGACTAGAGTTCTATAATTGTCAAATAAGACCTACATTAAAGAAAATAATTATTCTGACTTTTAAAAAATAAAATGAATTTAATTTTTAGACTCTAGTTTTTGAATTAAATACAGTAAGACTGTCCCGTTAATTTGTTTAAAAATCTCTGATTGGGCCAGATGTAGTGGCTTAACACCTGTAATCCCAGCACTTTGAGAGGTCGAGGCTGGTGGATCATGAGGTCAAGAGATGAGACCATCCTGGCCAACATGGTGAACTCCATAGAATTCTATTATAATATAATGAAGAGATTAATAAAATAATCCAATTTGTAAAATTGTGATCAAATATCCTTCTATCTAGCCTACCTTTATATGACTGTAGAAACGTGACCATACTTTAATTGTTAAAGGGAATGTTTTAAAGATTTCTCATTATTGAAGTAAGTTATAGAACTCTAGTCACCTGTAAATGAAAAGACAATCACTGGAACATAAATACTATGATAGAAACTGGCTTTTTTCATCATCTGCTATAAACAGGCCAATTTGAAAAGATTAATAAAGTTGTTGCTCAAATAATCTCCAGGAACATAAAATACAGTATTGCTAACTAATATCTGCACTGACTCATCAAAAAAGGCAAAATACAAGTCATTCCTTTTTGCCCCTTTTCCAAATTTGGCTTGTCCGTTTATTATCCCGTCTCTACTAAAAATACAAAAAATTAGCTGGCCATGGTGGTGTGCGCCTGTAGTTCCAACTACTCAGGAGGCTGATGCAGGAGAATTGTTTGAATTCAGGACTCGGAAGTTGCGGTGAGCCAACATCAGGCCACTGCACTCCAGCCTGGCGACAGAATGAGGTATTCCCGTTTCAAAAAAAAGAAAAAAAACTCATTGGTTGGCTATAGCTGACTATGTAAATATTAATTTATGCTTTTCTTCAGTGCACTTGTATTACTTCAATAGTGAGAAATCTTTTTAAAAATTTTCTTTAACAATTATAGTCAAGTTTTTATAGTCATATAAAGCTAGCCGAGATAGGAGGATATTTGATCGCAACTTTACAAATTAGATTATTAATCTCTTCATTAGATTATCGTAGAATTCTATGGAGTTCAGTTGGAAACTGCAGATTATTAAATAAACATCTTTTAACACATAAAATCCTGATGAGAGGGAATAGGAAAGATCAGAAAAATAAAAGGTTTTTTAAATCCAGAAGGCAAAAAAACAAAAACAGGTGCCTGAAGAATAAACCCTAAGCTGAAAACAGTCTGCCTTCTGCTACAGTATAACCTATTTTAAAATTCACTGTTTGACAAGACACATACACAAGTTAAGCTGAGTTTCTCCTCTTTTTTTTTTTTCCTTGTTTTTTCCTAGGTGGATTCCCATTATTGTCCCAGTTGCTTAGAAAATATGCCATCGGCTGAAGCCAAACTAAAAAAGAATAGGTAAGACCTGGGTTGATTTTTTTTTTTTTTTTCCTGTTTTCCTCGACTGTTTTCTAAAATATCTGGCTAAAAAGACACAGGGAATTAACTTTTTTAACCAGCTGTTTTTCATTTTTAAGCTTCACTATTGCCAAGGACGAAATGCCCTTTGATTTTTGAAATACATTTTCTACTTTAGAACAGTTTTATCCTTTAGAATTATTGTGAAGATAGTAGGGAAAGTTCCCATCTACCTCACATCCAGTCTACCCTGTTGTTAACATTTTACATTAGTGTGGTATATTTGTTACAATTAATGATCCAATATTGATATATTATTATTAAGTAAATTGCATTTTATTCAGATTTCCTTAGTTTTTTCCTAGTCTCCTTGTTTTCCAGGATTCTTTTCAGGATATCACATTATATTTAGTAGTCATGTCTCCCTAGGCCCCTCTTGAGTGTGATAGTTTCTTAAAATTCCCTTGGTTTTGATGACCTCAAAAGTATTGTGTACTGGAGAGGTATTTTATAGAACGTCATTCCATTAGGATTTGCATCATGTTTTTTTCTCATCAGACCAGGGGAATGTATTTTGGGGAGGAGAACCACAGAGGTAAAGTGCCATCTTTCATTATGTCATGTTAAGGGTAAATACCATGAATGTGACTTACCACTGTTGGTGTTAACCTTGATTATCTGGTGTGAGCTAGTGTTTGTCAGGTTTCTCCACAGTGAAGTTACTGTTTTTCCTTCTTTTTTGTACTTTACTCTTTGGAAGGAAAATCACTGTCACAGACCATACTTAAAAGACTACAGAATTTTGTTCCCCTGTCCTTGAGGACTATCTGCATAAATTATTTGGATTTGGAATTCTTTTGCATGGAAGATCTGTGTCTTCTCGCCCATTTATTTATTTTTTTAATCACTTACTTATAGGACAATGGGATCATGAATATTTATTTTACACTTTGGATTATAATCCAATACTACTTTATTTATTTATTTATTTATTTTGCTCAAATTATTTCAGCTTTGGCTATTGGGAACTCTTTCAGTTGACTCCTAAATCCCTTTGGCATACCCCCATCATTATGGGCAGGGGAGAGTTCTGTTCATTTTTACTTGATCATTTTCTTGCCAGTACTGCAAGATACTCCAGACTCATCTTGTGTGCCTGTTGTGTGTGGCTGGGGGGTGGTGTGTGTTTGAGATAGGGTCTGGCCTTGGTGCCTAGGCTGAAGTGCAGTGGTGCAGTCTCGGCTCACTGCAGCCTCAGCCTCCCAGGCTCAAGCAGTCCTTTCACCTCAGCCTCCTGAGTAGCTGAGACTACAGGCACATGCTACCACGCCTGTCTAATTTTTGTACTTTTTGCAGAGACAGGGTTTTGCCATGTTGCCCATGCTGGTCTCAAACTCCTGGGCTCAAGCAGTTCACCCATCTTGGCTTCCCAAAGTGCTAGGATTACAAGCGTGAGCCACTGTACCTGGCCTCATCTTGTTATATTCTTTGTCTGAGCCTTACAGTTGTTTCTCTAAGGAGCCTTGGTTCACTTTATTGGAGAATAGTCTTAGAAACCAACGTGTGGCTGCTAGGCATGCTCATTTCTCCTGTATGGTGTTTAGTTTTTAGCTTGAAGTGTAAGTCCTTTTGCTATTAGTCATACCCCCTATACCCTGATGGATGTGAACCACTATTATTTGTCTTTCCCGCCCTGAGAAGTAACCCCTGATAACTGGATACTGTTTTGTATGCTTTCTACAAATTAATTTTTATCATTTAATCCTCAAAGCTTCCTTATAAGGTGAGTACTATTATTAACTTCTTTTGATAGTCTCCACATGGCAGACTATAACAGATAATGCAAGTTATGTTATAGAACAGAACTTCAGGCCGGGTGTGGTGGCTCATGCCTGTAATCCCAGCACTTTGGGAGGCCAAGGTGGGCGGATCACCTGAGGTTAGGAGTTCAAGACCAGCCTGGCCAAGATGGTGAAACCTCATCTTAAAAAAAAATAAAATAAAATAAAATTTGAGGGCCGGGCGCGGTGCCTCACGCCTGGAATCCCAGCACTTCGGGAGGCCAAGGCGGGTGGATCACGAGGTCAAGAGATCGAGACTGTCCTGGTCAACATGGTGAAACCCCGTCTCTACTAAAAATATAAAAAAAACTAATTGCCGGGCGCAGTGGCTCACGCCTGTAATCTCAGCACTTTGGGAGGCCGAGGCAGGTGGGTCACGAAGTCAAGAGATCAAGACCATTCTGGTCAACATGGTGAAACCCCATCTACTAAAAATACAAAAAATTAGCTGGGCACGGTGGCGCGTGCCTGTAATCCCAGCTACTCAGGAGGCTGAGGGAGGAGAATTGCCTGAACCCAGGAGGCGGAGGTTGCGGTGAGCCGAGATCATGCCACTGCACTCCAGCCTGGGTAACAAGAGCGAAACTCCATGAAAAAAAAAAAAAAAAAAAAAAAAAAAAAAAAAAAAAAAAAGAACGGAACTTCAAGGCAAGTACAGGAACACAGGAGAAATCTTGATAATCTGTGGTGGTGAGAGAGTTAAAAGCAACAAGACATAGGGACCTCCTAAAGAAGAAGTTGGCTGAGCACTAGGAAGAGTAGCATTTAAGGAGAGAACAGAAAGCCCTGGAAAAGTACTGCTTCTCAACCATTCCAGTTCAATAGCATTGTTTGGTAACTGTTTCAGCTCTCTGGCACAGCAGTCAGTTATTTTCCAAATCCAGTTTCACAGCTTCTTCTGTTGTTGATTCTGAGTTTTCTATAGCACAATTGGTCTGTCCTTTCTAAAGGCATAAACTGTGACTTCAGAATTATTGTGAAGAATTATTTCTCTTTTCCTCAGAAATCTTTGTGATCAATACAGACATAAAAAGAGTCTGGAATAGTAAACTCCATCTGTTAACAATGGTTCTGTCTGTGGAGTAGGATTGGGTTGGGCTCAAATTCTTACTTAGGCAATAATTGCATATTTTTAAAAAATAATGCTTATATAAAGCATTAATAGCAACTCAAGATTTTATTAATTTTTTTGCATATTTTCTAAAAATAATGTTTATATAAAGCTCATTTATAATGCTCATTATAAACATAATGAACATACAGTACTTTTGAACTGTTAACAAAGTTGGTAAGAATGTTTTTTTTTTCTTAAGAGACACTTGTTTTTATATTTGTTCTCTCTTGAATTCCTAACACCTGGAACAATGTCTGGCACATAGTAAATGCTTGATAAATATTTGTTAAATGAATGAATGGTTGTGTTTGTCATGTCACAGATGTGCCAATTGCTTTGACTGTCCTGGCTGCATGCACACCCTCTCTACCCGGGCTACAAGCATCTCCACACAGCTTCCAGATGACCCAGCCAAGACCACCATGAAAAAAGCCTATTACCTGGCATGTGGATTTTGTCGCTGGACGTCTAGAGATGTGGGCATGGCAGACAAATCTGTAGGTGAGTGAGGTGGACTTAAACATGAAATTTCGTGCAAATGACAGTGTTGTAATTGCTCATAGGTAATTATTTCTGTAACCTGATGGGGCAATAAGAGCTAAATTCAGAATATTTTGTCATTGACTATTCTGTGTTTCCATATTTTCACATTTATAAACATTAGTGTTTTCTTGGTTTTTTTTTTTTTTTTTTTTTTTTTTTTTTTTTTT